TAACTTAAAGTGGACCTTTACCCCCTTTGGCTAAAAGTCACATCAGCATACAGCTCTGCATGCCGATAGGAAATCATCTTACATTCATTAGTTAAAGTGACATTAAACCCTCAGATTTTTTAACATAAAACAATACTGTAATGTGTACCTTACTGTAATCCATGGTTGTTTCCCTTCTCTTTGCTGCTCTTCCTTTTACAATCTTCATGTCTTCTCATGCTGGGGGAGAACTTCCCTTTGCAGCTGAGTGCCTCTTCCTGTAGTGCTGGCTCAGGTTGTGAACCTACACACAGACACCATATATCCATTTCAGAGACAAGGCAATCTGCTGCAAAACAGAAGTTCTGCCCAGCATGAGAGCAGATACAGATTTAAAAGGAAGAGCAGCAAAGAGAAGAGAAAAAAACATGGATTACAGTAAGGCACACATTACAGTATTGTTTTATGTTAAAAAATCTGAGGGTTTAATGTCACTTTAAAAAAACATCTTTTCATTTTACAATACAATTTCTTGTTTTATACTTCCTCATTCTCTTTGGCAAAAGTGATGTAATGTCCCCAAGCATTGCATCCTGGGAAGGTTACATCAGCAGAGCGTTGCTGGGAAATCTCATCTGTAATCTCAGGAGATCTCAGGGAAAATAATTTTCCTCCCCGGAGATTATGTGCATGGTCACAAGACCTAGTCACATGTGCCAGAGTTGCCCTTAGTAAAAATGGCCACTGTGAGAAGAATGGAGAGGAAAAGAAAAACCAGGTATGCAAAGAACAAAAACCCAGCAATCTAGAAGTATGTGTTTGCAGATTGTCATTACTAAACATTTCTAAAGGTGCCTTTGTTGTTATTTAGAAGATATGGGTAAAGTTCCTCTTTAAGGCAAGGGTTCCCCAAGTTTGTACCTGGATGGGCAGAGTAGGCATTGAAATGTGTAAGCAGGCACCTTTTGCTACCTTCTGTTTAGGGTTGGTTTTAGGTAAATATGCAGGCTATAGAGTGAAGCAATTCTGTCAGGTTCTAGAAAAAAAAATCCAAAAACGCATCAAAAAGTTCCCTGCAAGTAAAGAGGTGGTATACTTTCTTCTCTAACAGCCCATGTCTCCTGTCTTATCTCTGTTCCAACATGGCAGCAAATGCCAGTCTCTTCAGCAACCAACAATTTTGGAGTTTGGGATTCCTGTGCCCCTTGTGCATTATGGTTTTATCCTCCCAAGACCCGTCATCTCTGCTGTGTCCAGTAGAGACACAGGCCTCCAAGAAAGATAAGTTTACTACCTCTTATTTTGCAGGGAACTTTCAACACCTAGAGGTGCACATACCTGCAGCAGCTCCTGAATGCCTACAGATACGTCTGAATCTCTTGTTGTTCTGACAGGCAATGCTCTGGATCTTTCTTGTGGTTAGTAAGCCTAAATTAACCTTGTGCTGCACTGTGCTAAATTAAATATACATTAGATTGTCAGTGCAAAAATATACAAATGTGTCAGCGACTTATTTTAACATATACAAACTCGACACATGTTAAAACAAAAAGTATCAATGTATAGCACACAGTGAGCTATACAATAATATGTAACTAAAACTGTCCACAATCACACTGTGCTACACCAAGCCTGAAAAACTCCAACACATGGTGAACTATTTAATATACACTGCCCGACCAAAAAAAAAGTCACTCTAATATTTCGCTGGACCAACTTTTGCTTTGATTGTGGCACGCATTCGCCGTGGCATCATTTCGATAAGCTTATGCAGTGTAACATTTATTTCTGTCCAGATTTGCATACATTTTTCACCAAGATCTTGATGGGAGAGTCAGACCACTGTGTAAAGTCTTCTCCAACACACCCCAAAAGATTCTCAATTTGGTTAAGATCTGGACTCAGTGGTGGCCAATCCATGTGTGAAAATTAGGTCTCATGCTCCCTGAACCACTCTTTCTCGAGCCCGATGAACCCTGGCATTGACATCTTGGAATATGTCCGAGCCATCAGGGAAAAAAATCCATTGATGGAAGAACCTGGTCATTCAGAATATTCGGGTAGCAGCTGACCTCATTTTTTGGGGACAGAACGTTGGTGAACCTAGACTAATTATCCAATGGAGGGCTCTGACTTATTTGCTTAGCTAAATCCAAGTAGTGACTTTTTTTGGCCAAGCAGTGTATGTAAGATGTGTCAATTCTCCTCCTTTATTGTGTCTTGCCGAATTTTGTACTCCACCACCAGTTATCTGATAGACACACAACTTCCAACACCCTATGGTTCTCCCTCACCAAAATAATGATCAGCGACATTGTATCTATTTAGTGACCTGTATTTATTTCCTGGATCCTCAGCTCCATCTAGTGGTCCTAATGTATTTTCCCATTCATTCTGTTCTCTATGAACATACCAATTGAAGGACATTTGGCCAGATACAAAATTGCACTATTGTGTTTTGTCCCCAATCACACAACAGCTGGTTAACTCACACAGAACAAACTTGCATGCAGTTTTGCTGGACAAATAAACAATGCATTATATATATAGATCTATAGATATATATAGATCTATATATATTTTTATATATAGATCTATATATATCTATAGATCTATATATATGACACCCAACTCTCTCGCATCTGCCAAAAACGAAAAAAAATTTTGTGTGTGTGTGGACTGACCCTTTAAATGGTACCGTTCATCCTCTGCCTTTCTTGACATGAACCCGTGCACACACTGCACCTTGAAGTCTCTCTGACTGGCTTCCCCTAGACAGATGCACTGTACAGGTTTGAGTAGTGTATATTACAAGTCTGCTGTTTGCTTTGTCAAGCGTTAATGTACAGCTCCCATCAGGGGGTGTTTTTTTAACCTGCCGCTTGTAGCACCATGCAAGTTTTACATGTCCTCTTAAATTATGGCCTTAATGGGGCTAATGTATGAAACAATCCAGCCTTTGAAGGAAAATGATTCATTCATTTAGAATGATGATAAATTTGTTTTCCTTTGACGTTCCGGCAATGAGATGATAAAGGCTTTCTATTAAGTGACTGAAGGACAGGAAAAAATTGATCAGCAGGCAAGGCTAATTCACATCTGCCCCTACATTCCTTTTCCTTTTAGCCTTGTCTGATCTGTCCAGTCACACGTAATTACTCCTTCCTTGATTGAAGTACCTGAACCCAAATAAGATGCATTTCACTGCACACTTACTTCAGCATGGTAATTGGCCCTTCATTTTAGCTGTGATGTTTTTTTCTATAGGACTCCCAAATCACAAAACTTATATAGTTTTATGAAGGGTTTTTCTAATGCATAAAGTGGACCTGTGCTTTACCTATGCAGGGCAAAGCAACAGGTGCAATTTAATGTCGCTTTCCTCTCCATATATATTTACCATCTGTTTGCTCACCGTCACTCCTTTCACTTGCCAGGAGTAAACACGAATACCTGGTAATTCTGCTTTCATCCAAGCATGCTCAAAACTGTGACCACCACTCCCTCCTCCCAACTGTCAGTTGCGGAGGGGTGCATTCCCTGCCCTCAACTATATGTCACAAGGGGGAAGGGAGTGCCCCCTCCGCAGCTGCCATCACTGATTGGGTCAGAAGGAAGGGGTGGTGATCACAGGTTTGATTGGACTGGGGCAAACTCAAGCAAACTGGGATGGCACCAAACCAGATCGAAACGGACTTGCGCCCATTTACATCTGATTACCCCTGACTCTGTCTAGGTCCGGACAAGAAAAGGGACAAAGGGCTTGGGCGGACTCAAACAAACTGGGTTTGCACCAAGGCCAAGTGACTCACTCTCCTTGCTTCCATGATGTAGTCCTGAGTGCCCAAGTGGCCAATTACTGGGCTCAAACTCTGTCAGAGGAGGATGGAGAGAGAGTCCAAAGTCCTGTTAGATTGATTTGAAGCATCTCTACTTTCCTAGAGGAGATCATAAGTAGAACGAAGGGAAGTTAAAGTGTATGTCAAGGCAAAATAATAATTTTAAAAAATACATCTCTGTAATATATGCACATTTCACCAAGTATTATCCCTTTATAGGAGAACTATGGGGTTAAGGCTTTTCCCCATAGTTCTCCTTAGGGTAACGGGAGGACACACACTAGCGTCCTCCCATCACCCTAGGCTCAGTATACCGCGAGCTGTAGCTCGCGGTATACTGAGACGCCGCAGCTGAAGCGGATCCCGACAATTGTGCTGGGATCCGCCCAGCTGCGTGACTGACAGCTGGTTCTCCCTATCTAGAGGCAGAGCAAGCTGTACCCGCCCCCTCCCCCGGGGGGAATCCAGCCCCTCCCCTGTCACGGCAGAGAGCCGTGACAGGATCGAGAGGTGAGCGAACGCCGGTATGTGTTCGCTCACCTCCCGATCTACTGAGCCGACCTGTGACAGTCTCATTGTCACAGGTCGGCTAGAACTATGAGGCGAGTGAAAAGTACTAACCTCAGAGTTCTCCTTTAAACATGCTGCATGTACAAAAACATAATGTGCCTAACATCCTCTTTGACATGACAACACAGCTTAGAATTCCTTAGGAGGCGGGGTCTGCCCTGTCTACTTCATTTTGGATCTCAAAGAATACAGACCTCTCCTCCTTCTCATCTCCATAACCCCTCCTTGTGCACAGGCAGAGAGCACAGGAAGTTACCAGCTCACAAGATATCTGGCAAAATCAACAGGTATTTCTGGCACCTATCGAACAGATATAACAAAATGCTTTCAATGGTATATTTTGCAGATCTGGCAGGATCTTCCGGTACGAAACTTTGCAACAGATTCACAAAAATGTTTTTGATTAAGAGAACGTATAATGACAGACATACTGAAAATAAAGAAATAGGGCTTACATATATAATGGGTATACGCAGTGTGCAGGCATATAAGTGCACCTGGAGCTTTGCAGCACAGGTTCTCTTCCAAGAGCTGAAATTTACTGTGTACCATGTCTGCTTATTTCACAAATGATGTCTGTGTTCTTTCTAGGGGAAATCTCAGAGACTGCAGAAATCGCACTGGACAGATTGGCCTTTGGAGTTAGTACAGCTATCACCTACCGTGTGGGTGTGGATTTGTCTTCATCTGTGCTGAGTTCTTCTTAGTCTGCAGCCATGCCGGCCTTGTCAACTGGAGCTGGAAGTGACACAGGTAAGACACTTGGCATTAGTCTCTGTGTTTGTGCAGAGTCCATATTGTCTGGAATCTTTCAGTACAGCACACATGAGCATGAAATGAACTTGTTATGAACCCTTCAAGAGTTGGGTCCCTTTCAGACAGGCAGTCCAATCAGGTCCTGATTAGCCGTTGTTAGTCTATGTGCAGCCAGATCTAAATGGACTTGTGTCGGCAGCACAGAGCTGTACGTGCCGGCCGTTTCTCGTGTGAATGAGGGCTAACTGTTGCTTATACCCAGCAGCCTTAAAGAAGAACGCCGGGCAGAATAAAAATGAACCCTTGCAGTGGGGCTACCCTTCTACTGCAAGAGTTAACTGCACGTTTTTCTCTAGTGGACCAAATAAAGAAGATATACTTACCTGAGTCTCCATGCTGTGGCAGAGACCATTCACCTCTCTCCCCTAACCTTCAGTGTAGCCTGGACTGTACGCTGTATTAGATGAGATGAGTTCACAGGTCATTAGACGGTGGGATCCTGAGGGGACAAAAAGTCTGTGGGCACTGGTCTAGCAGCTAGGCGGGACCAAGGTTCAGATGAGTATATCGTATATTAATCTTTATTCTGCCCGGAGTTCTTCATTAAATATATTGAAAGCCAAAACTTTGCTGCTGCAACGGAAGTTATAAAAGTTACTATCGGATCACAAGACAAGTTGGGCAGTCATGTTAGTGGGGTGGAGTTAATGTCCATTGCCTGTGCAACAGAATACACAAAACGAGGTGCATGTGCCATTTCTGGAAAGCCAGCACAGCTCATTGTACTGTAGTGTGTTGAATGGTAGCGCAGAGCACCATGGCTCGTAATGTGCATTGCCACGTGTATTATCACAATGCAAAGTGTGAATCTGTCCTATAGTACAGTACTTTGGTGATTAACATCATAGTAAGAAATGCAACCTATAACATGTTACCAGAAAAAGAGGTCAAATATATTTTATCAAGAAGTATCGAGAAACAAAATGACATTCGAAAGTATAGCTCTTGTCAACTGGAGAACAACTAGCCCGCAATGAATGAGCTATAGGGTTGTGTGTGGCCCAAAAAACAGCAGTGTGACAGTTCTGGAGTAGGGAATTGTTTCAACTAGGGATGCACTGATACCAATACTAGTATCGATATCAGTGCCGATACCAAGTATTTGGGCGAGTACTCAAACTCGCCCAAATGCTCCGATGCCTAGCAAGAGTACTTCCTGTATCAGGAAGCCGGGCAGCGCGTTATTACACACTGCCCGATTTCCTGATTGGCCGGGAAGCGGCTCCAAGCTCTCTCGTCACTTGTGCCGGTGTGCCGGCTTCCTGATTGGCCGGCCCGGCGGCTCTGGCTGGGTACCGGAGGAAGGCCGCGTTCTGGCTGGAGAGGCCCCGAGGGTGACAGGCTGGACATACCAAGGTAAGAGGGGGCAGACTTTCTTGTTAATTGGGAAGCCGGGTGGCGAGTCATTACACGCCACCTGGCTTCCTGAATGGGACTTCCGTTTAATTGGTATTGGCGAGTACAGAAAAAAAATTATCGCTACTCGTACTCGGTACCAAAATACCGGTATCGGTGCATCCCTAGTTACAACGCTAGCCAGGTTTTTTTTTTCCTTTTGAGTCCCAATTAAAAACATTTTCACTTCACTTCCTGTCCTGCCGACACAACCGGAAGTGAGAGAACATCTCTCCAAAGTGAGGCAAATGCCATCTTAAGACCCCACTCACACTGAGCATTTTGTAGCGAGATTTCTGCTCAAAAATCGCTCACATATGAAGCTCAATGTAGCTCATCCAATGCATTTCAATGGAGATGTTCACATCTTGCAGCTCAATGTCGCCTGTTGCTTGTGGCTGAAGCTTGTCGCTCGAACATGAACTATTTTTCTGTGGATTTTGCGCGATTTCGCCCCAATAGACTTTGATAGACTGCCAAAAGAAGTGCTACGTAGCGCGACAAAATGTGCACTATAGATCAATGTCGCTCAAAGTCACTCTGAAAATGCGCTAATTGTGTTGTAGCTCAGTGTGAATGGGGTGTGAGACACTACTTCATTAATAGCACTTTTCCACAATGCATCGGAACATGTTGGTGTGAACGGCCACCATCCATGACAAATTACATTGCAGATTGTGTAAATAAGCCCTCAGACTTCAGTGTAGTGCAGAGGAAGTTATAAGGGCACAAGATTTCTGGCAGGATCAATAAATATTTTCTCTGTGTTGAAAATTATTTAGAAATAAGAAAACAAATGCAGCTACCACATTTGAGGACAGTTAAGCTGCAGATGTTAGATTTTGGGTTTACATCCACTTTAATACAGATTCCACTTTCTTCTCTACTTCTATACATGATCAGATTATTACTCCTTGTAGTCCAGTTGTTGTAAGCTCGACATTTCTGGCAGGTCCTGGGGTCCTGCCAACGTATCAGGGTCATCTGCTGATTTCTGTCCGATTTTCAGAAGACAGAATTAGGTAACACTGACATGCTTTTGAGCGAGTGGAAAAACGTAAGCATTGCTGTGTCCTTTTTTATAAACACTGTTAAAGTTTACAATGTTGTTCTGGGCTCGGGATCTATGTTCTCCGGCGTTTAATACCCCCAGGTTGCAGTAAAAAGATTTTTGCTCAAGCTGAATTTTGGGATATCTTACCCAAATACAGACAAATATTAAATGAAAATACACATAGTTGCGTTTTTATAAGGTTGCCGTTTGCTTTACGCATTTGGACGGAGTCCTCGCTTTCAATTCTGTCAAAGTGATGTAACACACGGCCCATATTTTTTAATCATTTAACGGTCCTTTATGGCTTCCACAGACCTGCTCTAATAATGAAGCTATGAGGGATATGACAAGAATGGTAATATTGGATTTCTCTAGACTAACAGCAAATTTTTCCACTCTGATGTCAAGAATGTTGAGCATCTGGAAGGTGCAGGGCGAGTGAATGAATGGCTGCAAGAGCGCCTTTTGCCGTTTTTCGAATTCTTCACAAAGGAACAAGTGATTTCATAGACTTCAGAACACTGCGGCTGGTGAAATGTTATGATTGTACATGCTCCCGAGCGTATGTAAGATTGTTTTATTTTTTGTTATCTCACTTTCTGTAATTCTCTATTTTTTTACCAGCATTAACCCCTTCGTGACGGGAGACGTACAGTGTACGTCTTGTCACTTTGTGCCTATATGACTGGCCACGTACAGTGTACGTGAAGAGTTATATCAGGCTTTGTAATGCCGGTATTTGCTGATTCTCAGCATTTAACAATCATTCATTAATGTCTCAGTATTGAGGCATTAATTAATGAAATAATTAAGCTTTTTGTAAAAGCTTCTTCCTTTCATTAATGAAAGAATGAAGCCGTTACATGCAAATAGAGGACCGCAATTTGCGATCCCGTATTTGACAGCTCAAAATAGCAGAGAGGCAGCAGTGACTCACCTCACCTCTCTGCTATTTGTTTTGACAGCCCGAGAGCCCGATGTTTAGATACATTTCACTGAAAGGATACAATGTATCTTTTGAGTGAAATGTATCATTTCTGATCGTCTAGGCACGATCAAAGAGCTTTTAGTGAGATCTGAATCTGACTAAAGTCAGGATCAGTCTCTAAGGTTATTATTAGCTGTTCCTAAGTTTGGATCAGCCTAATAGCCAAAAATAAAATAAAAAAGT